CGTAATATTTCTTCTATTTGAATAGAAGGTAACCACCAACAATTGTTGTTGAAGTTCGTTCTTACCCCCCGTGCATCACTCCTAACCCCCACCCCCACTCGAGAGGATTGTAAGTGTTGTTGTTTTACAAAATCGAAGTTTATCAATTCTGTTGTTAGAATACCCACACACAATACAGCGCGAACTCGCTTCCAAAATGACTTGGCTTGACTTGGTACTGGGGGTGGTTTTGGTTGCATAGATATTTAAATGACAGAATATAATTGTTAATATAAAGACAAATTAATTAGCTGATTCGTTTTTTTTTTTTTTTTTTTTGAAATTCATCTAAAGAAGTTTTAATGTTTTTATAAAGGCATAATTCCATCAAAATATGTTAGAGAAGTCTTCGTGGTGCCTCAATTTAGCTACACTATTTTCTTTGCCACATATTCAAGATCTATTTCAAAATTCTCTAATAGACAAAAGGTGGTATCATCTGTTATCTTCGAAAAAAGTGCTTCTATATTCACTCTATTCTCTCCAAATACAAAATATTGCATATTTTTATGATTTATTATTGTTTATCAATTGAAAACAATTAGAACTTACATTGCAGAAAAATTAATACATTTTTGTGTAAGTCGAGTAACTTTTTATTAAGGGATTTTTTCTCTTTGGATGGAATGCTCACAGAAAACCATTCGACAGCCATTTGGCCATTTTTAAATATAAAGATAAATTTTGGTCTCGATATGTTCTAAAGGTTTTAGCCGGAATTAAATACAACAGCAATGACTGATGGTGATAGATAGACTCGATCCATCGTTCAGGGTTGCCGGAACAAGCGACAATATTACTGTTGTTGAAAAGTAAAGGTCAAGTTTTATACCCTCAACTATATGGTCTATTTGGACCAAATCCGTTTCAGGATATTTGGAGTCGATCTAGCGATATCCGTCCGTCTGTCTGGCTGGTGCGCACAATAATTCTCGAAGGAAGTATTCGATTTGATCCAAACTTGGCACATATTATTATAAAACTTAGATCGAGTTCGGAGAAGGGCAATATCGGTCCACTCCCTCTGGTACCTCAAACACAAAATATCAACATTTCCAAGGAAAATAATTTAATGCACAGAAAGAGGAAGGATAATCCGATTTTGCTTTCCATTAGTGCTAGGTGAGGTGGACAATATCGGTCCACCCCATCAAGTACCTTCCCTACCACAAAGGGTCAACATTTTGAATGATTTTAACTTTTATAAAACGTGATGTAAGAGTCCGATTGTCTTCACATTGCACACTTCACAATATTTTTTATTAACCAAAGGTATAGTGTGAAGATGGAATATATCGGTCTACACCTTCTGGTACCTCCCTACACAAAGGACAATAATTATTAATACAATTAATTGACCTTGGAGGCTTAAGAATTAAGTATGAATTAAATAAAGATAGATATAAAGATACACAAAGGGTCAACTTTTTGATTCCATTCAGACTTGACTCATCGCAATGTTTCCATTAACACAAGATCTCTTGAAAAGATGGTAGAAATCGAACCATTTCTTCTTGTACCTCCCCCACATATGGTTCAAGATTTTGAAAAGCAAACCGCTCAATAAAAGCGAAATAAGCATCCAAATCTCTTCAAATTTCACAAATCCAAATATTTGTGCTTACGCAAGATCTGCCAACCCCTTCTGGTACCTCACCCACAAAGGGTAACAACTTCCAAAATACGGCGATTCTTTACTTCTTGCTATTTCTAAATATTTCTCTTAACCAGAAATCTGATATGAACATGTGGTTTATCGATATTTATGATTTCGCATAAAATTGGATATAAATGTTTGATTTCCTTTAAATTTTACACATACTCAAATTTTATCTTTATTAGATGAAGTGAAATATTTCGGTCCGCTCTATATTGTACCTCACGCATATTTCCACAGTATATTTCCAAAAATTTACACATATCTCATTTAAAGTATCGGAAGTAGACGATGTAGTCCAAATATGGCACGTTGTAATATTTATATCAGACTTAGGTCAGATACGAATTGGTCAATATTGGCCAACTGCTTCGGAACCTTCCCCATAAAGGGTCAACAGTTTGAATAATCATCATCTGTCGGCGAAACCGGCTGATAGTATTTTACTTTTTATTGTGTCATCACAAAAAGGTCTAGAGATACTCCTCGGCCGACTACAACTTGGGCAGTTCTTATGATACCTGTGATTATCTTCATGTACAGGACAATATGGTAATCTTCCAAGGATAGAATTTGAAAACTTGGTTAAAATCGTGGAATTATTAAAGGGATAGAAGTCCTTAAACCTCCAAATACATGTGTTTTGTCAAATGAAAGACTGTCGAAATTTAATATCTTTCATTCGAGAGTTTAACTGAAAGTACCTATCACGATATGAATCGCCTATTTATCTCAACCAAACTGAAAAACATTTCCCTTATGCCAGAAAAGTGGAAAACTACAAAAACAAACAAAAAATAATTGAAATCTGGTATTGCCTTAATTGTGTGTTGTCTGAAAACTGAAAGAAAACTAGCAACCCATACCCCACCATGAGGTAAAGCAAATCGCCTGTTTGGCTGCGTGGCTGGCTGACTGTCTGGTTTGGTGGCTATTTGTTTGGTTACTCCTATTACTTTTTACGTAACTCCACTGAATAGTTGTTGTGCTGACCCATTGGACCATTTTACTTTCAACATTTGCTTGGTCTTCTGTGTGTGTTTGAATGAGTGTTTTTTGTATATTTTTAGCAATATTAGGTTCAACAATTTTATACCTAGGTAAGTATCTCTTTTTGATTTTATTTTATGCGGATATAATGATGAAGACATCTTGTTGGCCCCCGGCCTCTGTATTTCATAGTGTGCCTGGCTGAGCGTGAATGGTTGGTTAGTTGCACGATTGTTTTTTAGCTGGCAGGCTGGCTGGCTGACTTTCCGGACATTATTTCTCTTCGCTATAGTATGTAAGAGCACAGATACAATAGCATACGAAAATGTGACTTTAATTTAGCAAAAGGTCAGAGAAAAATATTTACTAAAAAGTAAAAAAACAAAACATCCATTGAAACCCAGTCAGTCACACAACAAAGCAGAAGCTGTAATAGCTGCTGCAGCAACAACATTTAACAATGGTAATGCGCTTGTTTTTTTCTGACTGCTATTCAGTTTTACACAATTTACATAAATATTCATGAATATACGTCGTCGTGCGTTACGTTAAAAACGAAATATGTGTGCAACCACTTCGTTGATTATTTAGAAACAATGGAAATTATTTGGTAGCTATTTTTTGATGATTTATAAAATGTTGAAACAATGTGGTTGCTTATTTCAGCTGCTCTATATAAATATAGATATATTTTTTGAAATGGAAAAATATTTTATTGGATGTAACTGCATCAAGAAACAAACTACAAAGACATAGAAGTATAAAGATAGGACAAGACAGAGTAAAATATGGCAACCCTGTGAAAAATACCTCTGTTGTTATGATATCGTAACAACATAGTTACCAATGTTAAGCAATTTAAACCGCTAAGACAGTATGCAATCATTTGGGAAGGTATATGGAATAAAATTTTGAAACCAATATTTTGGATTATCCAAACTTTTATTTGTCATTCTTTCCTATAATTGTGTTTTTTATATTAACATGCCTTTGTCATATACTGTAATTCAAAGTAGTACAGCCACAAACCATTTGCTCAGAATGCATTTTGTCTAGTCTTTACCATTTTAGGTCTTTGCAAACTATATTCTTAAAGATCTATAAGTTTAATATTGGAATTTAGCCATGGCACAATAAGGAGGTAAAATCGGTTCGTAAAACTACTGCGATGCAGCCCTGAGTCTGAATCCCACTTCCTGTCAGGATTATTCAAAATTAGAAACAGCAAAATGTTGTTATTTATGTGATAATTATCTTCATTTTTAAATGGATTAAACAAATATTCAATCTGTTTTATATTTCAATTTGGCAAAACTGGATCATATCTTTATTTTTCAAAACAATAAATTCAAATAAAGAATTGGCAGAAGTCAAACACTCTACCACACCTTTTTATTGTACCATGTAATTTAATAACAAAATTAAAAAAAGACAGCAAAAGTATTGTTGGGATATAGACTAATACCAAAAGCCAAATGAAAAGGGAAAACATTTTTTTCTCTGATACATACTGAGGCGCGAACGAATTATAAGGATAATTATTTTGGTAAAATGCTGCAAATCACACTCCTTTCTTTTTATTATTAAAATAGGGAAAGTTGTATTGCTAGATACCCATCCAATAATTTGTTTCTAGAAAGTTTTGTAAACATTTAAATTATATAAATAAGGATTTTATTTATTGCTAAGATGACAATTTTGTTTTTGAACTTTGAACAAATTTTCCCAAGCCCTGTGCCAAGCTTTACTAAAAATTTTGGTATCCATCTCAAAATTTAATCTTGAAAATAATAATTTGCAAAGCATTTCTTACTTTACTACGTCGAATAGACAATAATATCAATGCTCATTTTGGTAATTACTATGGTAGAAGAATAAAGGTAGATGCATCAAACATTGATGTGTCAAAAATTTTAGAATTTTTTTTTTTAAATATAAGTTCATTTTAATATGTTTTCCTATACAACGTCAATCGGAGATTTTTAGGATATGCGTTTTTCAACAATTTTTACAATTTGTCAAAAAATGTCAATTTAAAAATTGTTTGACAGTTCCATGTCCCAGAAGCTGTGTCGATGCATCTACCTGTATCCTTCTACCATGGTAATTACTGCAAAAAATTAAGTGCGATGATCGTCGAAGAAAATCGCTCATTCAATTGCAATCCTTTCAAAAAAATATTGTCTTCTTATGATATTGACTTCTTTAGTGTTTTTTTTTTTTTTTTTTCTTTATAAACTTTAGCATTTGTCACCGTCGTAGCCATATTTATATGTATACCTATCGACTCGTAAGAATTCAATAAATAACTCACCGTTGTAAATATGTCGCCACAATCAAAATAAATGGCGGTGTTCGATGAGGTTTTTGTTGTTGTAGTTGTGTTACTCTTTTGCACAATAGCTGCAGACATTTTCGCTGTTTTTCTGTGTTGTTTTCGGTTTCCTTTTAATTAGACATGCAACAGGTGTGGGGGGCTTGGTCACGCACAAGCTTACTAAACTCCGGTGCAGGAGCGAATAGAAGGAACGGGCGAAATATTTACACGATGTAAAATCCAAAGTTCGTTTGCCTTTAGTCCTTATACGATGGACAACTTTGCACTTTTGTAATTTCTCACACAGTTTTGTTGTATTTTTTGATAATTTGGAATTTTCTAGTTTGTTATTTTTTATTTATTGATTAAAAAACAATGTAAGCACATATATTTGTGTGTCAGCGGTACGGTGTTCTGCTATGTAATTTTAATTGTTATATATTTTATTCTCCAAGTGCTGGCTTCTTTTGTATGGTCTTTTTTCAATGTACACACAATGAATGATAGCACGAATCGAGCCTGTTGGCGGGGGATGAACGACGACGAAGAAGATGTGATAAGTGTTTTTACATTTGTATGGGATCACACAACACACCGACTGCTAACTGCTCTGAGAGGCATACAATGAACAAACAATAAGAACAACATTCACACACCGTTCTGATTCCACTCACGCTCTCTTCCTTTGGCAAGCACCAAATAGAGACGAGTTCTCACTCTCTTCTCCAAACACTTCTAGTTTACAAATAACTTTGCATCGAGCAAACAGCGCAACAATTTTTTTGTTCCACCGACACCGAGGAGGGAGTCAAGAAATCCAATGATCGATTTTTGTACTCGCTGGGGCTATGTTTTTATGGGAGACGTCGAGGACGCACAGAGAAGCATAAAGGAGCAAGGAGCAATTAAAAGACAAACACACACGCAGCACACAAACACGTTAATAATCCATAATCCCACAAGCTTGCTATGTTTCGATATTTCACCTTTTATTTTCAAAATTGTAAAATTGTTATTTAGATTCTTTAGAAGACACAATAGGAAATTTTATTATTGAACGCTTGCTTGTTTGTATTTTGTTTTATTTTTTGTTTGTTGTATTTTAACAAAGTTCTGACGCGAGTTCTAAGAGCGAGCTTCAAACGTGTTTTCTTTGTTTCGTGTTTCCCTTTCGTTTCTTTTGCGCACACTTTTTGAATTCTAATTCTTTCTTGCGCAGCAGTAATCACTTATGATTTTATTTCTTTGTAATAGGTCTTCTCTGTTTCTTGCTTCTCTTCTTTTCTTTCTCGTTCGTCCGACAGATCGCACAATTGCTTTCCAGATCGTTGCTTGCTTTCGGCTTGTTCATGTGAGACTAACTTTATTTTTTCTGTGTATTTCTGATTTTGTGTGCTTGCCTATCGTCGAGTTCGATGTTGTTATGCAAGCCAAACACGATACAGCTGGTCGTACAACTTGGAGAGGTTGTATTCATCGGAGAGGTTGTATTGCATCGTTTGAGGGCTGGTTGTGCGAAGTTGTGTTTCGGTTGTACGGGAGTTTTTTTTTTTTTGACATGTCGTACGAACCGATTTTAACGTTTGTGAGCATGTCGCTTAAAAAATGTATTTCGTGTTTATTTTTGTAGAGACAATACCATTGTTGCGCGCATCTAGGATTTAAAATAAACATTTCAGCGGAGAATGTGAGATTTTAAAAAATATTACAATATGAATACAAAAAAAAAATTTCAATGAAATTGCAAAAATTAATATTTTAATAGAAATAGAAAGGCATGTACATATTCCCGATGTCATCTTAACACAAAGTTAAAAGAGCTGGTACACAACCGGAGTGCACAATTTGGCTACTCTCCAAATTGTACCAACGATTGTATCGTGTGTGGCATGCATGACGAATGTCGGGAGCACGGTTGCCACTGGGCCGAGAAATTGTCTACCAAAATTATCCAAAAATGTTCAAATATTAAGGAAAACAGGTTTGCTTATATTTTATAATAAAATCGACAACTTTTTTTAATGATAGACAGATGATAGTAAATTACATTGTTCAATTTACAGTCTGTTATAGCTACTTTTCCTCGAAACCTATTCGTTTCAATTTCTGTTTTTATAAGAATCTAAAAGCTCTCGTCCATTTCTGATGTCAGGGTCTCCAAATTTTATTTTTTCGATTTTTTCCCATGCTTGTGGCAGCCCCAATAAATTCAAAATTTATCAATAAATTGAAAAATTTCAAATAACAACTCACCGAAAAAAGTTCGTGTGTTAAATAAGATCATATGTAAATTCACCATCATACAAATATAATTTGGGTGTGATCCTTTGACAAACAGCAAACTTCTGTTTAAAAGTATAGGTCTCTTCCTATCACTTTTGTTACTTTCTCTTTTGTATTTTTGTTAAAAAACCCAAAATTACTGTGAGAAGTAAACGCTTTCATCTATTCCAAAAATCCAAAATATTGACAAAATTGGAAACGAATGGGAAAAATATTGTAACAAAAACATGCTGTTAGTATACCTACGAATACGAATTATAATTTACATTTTTTTTTAAATTAAGTTTATATTATAGTTCACATTCATTTAAAAATAATTTACAAAGGAAGGACGTTTTTAAATTCTTAATTAAATTTATATATTTTTAGTTATACATTATTATATAAATTATTTACTGTGCTATAAAGTAATTTATATTAAAAATTAAAAAAATTGATACCTGTCATTTTTGCAAAAATGTGTAAAATTGTTGCCCTCCGTCCGTAGTTTCCGCAGTGGCATCACTGTATCAATGTCCGTAGTGGCAACATTGCACTAATGTTTCTTTTTCATGTTGCTCTTGGTCGTACTTAACACCAGAGGAAAAGAGAAAGCCATATAATTATTATTTTGATTGTGAACAATAATAAACTACCAAGTTACCAACGCCAAAAAAAATTCCAATTGTGGTAGAATTCTTGGTGTGTTGTTATTTAGTGGTGGAGTGGTGGCAGTAAATATCTGTGTATATATTGTCTTTGCTGATTTAGTATTTATTTTTTGTGGTCGTTTTGCTATTGGGCGTCTGGAGGAAATATTAACATTTACTGATATCAAAACGACAAAAAATAATAAATGAGCATAGCAAGCGTCATTCGTCATACGATAACTATAAGAATTGGAAAATCTTTCGCATAGTATAACAATTTGGCATGTCTTGAAAGATACAAATTGTAATTGCTCCCGGTTTTCCTCTTATATTAATTCATTCTCTTCATTCATTCAGCTGCATAAAAAGAGAAACCATTCCATTGTTTACCCATGCTTATGCTTTATATGTTACCTAAAATTCGACGTAGCGTACCGAAATAATCAACTCCCCCACTATGGCAAAATGTTTTGTACTTCCGTATTACCTTTGTCGCATCGACAAAGCTTTTAAATGAAAAATTATTCAAATTTCTAAAAAATTGTTGAAAAATGCATGTCATAACAACCTTTGATTGGTGTTGTATAGGAAAACTTATAAAAATCGACTCAGAAAACATTTTAAAATTTTTGACATATCAAGCGTTTATGCATCTACCTGTATTCTTCTACCATGGAATTGTTTATGCTATGTTCTCATTACACTTTCAATCACGTTGTTCGCTCTCAGAATTAGGTACACGAATTAACCCGTTCATACGGCACGATTCGTAATTCATATTAAAATAATTCCTTTTTTCACAAATTTTGTTTTTTGATTTTAATGGGAATTTATACTAAAATACATTAAATTCTCACTAATATGAATAGAAGAAATTATTGTTTTTCTTCCAAAGAATAATTATATCATTAATTTTACAATTTTCATTCATGTTTTCAAGTTTTTGTGTAAATATTGACATTTTGAACATATTTTTGTATTTTTTTAATTTTAAATTCTGCTGGAGAGACACTTGTCAAAATTTTTGTTCTGCCGATACAAACATTTTTAAAATATTGCTCTTTTGTTTGCAGTTTTCTGTGGAAATTTCAACTCGTGGACAAAATGTGTACCGCGAATGAAAGAGAAAACAATATGTACTTTCGTTTGAATGTACATACGCCATTCAACATTGTAGTTTTCATTCATAACTTTCAGTCTTCCCAAAAATTTTTAAAATTTCATTAAATTTTTCTAGTTTTAATTTTTAAATGTCATAATTTATTTTTTCGATAAATGCTCTCATTTGTTAGGGATGGGACATATTTTTTCGTTATTCGGAGAGTGATTTGATTCGAACAATGTACAAATATGAGTGTTCGTTCAGGAAATTTTGTGTGAAGAATTAAGTAGTTTTTTCATAGTTAAGGGTCGAACAAAGAATAGAGAGCGAATCAAGTGTAGTGGAAACGTCACATTAGCCGTGCACCATGGTAGAAAAATACAGGTAGATGTATCAACGCTTGGGAGCATTGATATGTCAAAATTTTTAAAATTTATTTTCAAATATAAGTAGCTTTTTATATGTCTTCTTATACGACGTCATTCGGAGGTTATTGTAAAATACCTTTTTCAACAATTTTTACAAATAAAAAAAATTTTTCATTCAACATTTTCAATTCCAAAATTGGTTTGACATTTCATTCGGCCCAATTACGGTTGTCGTTACTATGGTCGTCGTCGACTTTATGTGAGAGTCGCCCTCGCCGTCGCTTCGATTCAAAAATGGTATTATGGCAAGGCATAGAAGCGACATCGACAGTTTAAAATAAAAGTTGGCAACAAATAAAAAACGTTGGCAACACTCCCCTGTTATTGACAAAAAAAGATATTTTTTTGGTATTTTAAATTCTAAATTCGCTCTTTCGGAAAAATAAAAAATATAGTGAAAAAATGAAGAATATAAATACGTTACATATCTTAAGTTCAAGTGAGGATGAAGAGAAGATTGTATTAGTAGTGCAGCGGCGAGTGTTAAGGCAGCCAACAAACATATTTGCATTGCCTGGCCCTTGATTGTGTTGTTACAAAAATGTTCAATAGTTTTTACTTTCCTTGTAGACTTTTTACCATTGTTTTTTGATCGAGAAGCTTCAATAGTAGGTTACATCAGTCTCGTCATCAGCATTGTCCACTTGCTCATTTTCATGAACTATAACGTCTATTACACTTATGTTTTCCTTATTTTCTATTCCAAGTGCACGACCTGGTGGATTCAATAACTTTTGAAACTGCATTATATTCGCGACAGACTCCTCCAAAGTCATTTGCTTAAAAATGCCATATCCATTGCTGCTGGTTTCACCCCTGTTGTGCACAAGTTTTTTTAGTTTTAAATTTTAAATCTTTCCAAACCTAGAAGAATTTCAGAAAACTAACTAATAAAAACGTACAAAAATAATTTTCATTTTTACATACTTTTTGCCAGCCATCGGGGTCTCTAATCGGAGTCCCGTTTACATTTAATTTTGTAGCAATGGATTCCCAATCTGAATGAAAATTTGCTGGAACATGACCTTTGGTAAATCCTTTTGCCAAACATGGATTTTTTTTCAATTCGGAAACCAAAATTTCAAATTGTTTTGCTGTTGTTATTTTCGTGGTCAAACAAATATAAAATACAAAATGCTTACAATATCAACGTCGACTAAAAAGTACTATGTCGTCACAATTTTTTACGGCGACATATATTCTAAAAAATCGACTTCACGTCGACTGTTGTATCGACAATGATAATGGCAACCATTTGTCGCTATCGACAAAAACCGACAACCCTAATATCACTATTGTCGCCTCGGCTTCATTTTGCGACGCCGACGATAACCGTAATAGGGTCGACTATGTCGTCACAATTTTTTACGGCGACAGATATTCTCAAAAATCGACTTCACGTCGACTATTGTATCGACAATGATAATGGCAACCATTTGTCGCTATCGACAAAAAACGACAACCCTAATATCATTATTGTCGCCTCGACTTAATTTTGCGACGCTGACGATAACCGTAATAGGGCCGATTGTCCCAGCAGCTGCGTCAATGCGTCTACCTATATTCTTCTACCATGCCGTGCACTTTATGTAAATGTTTTGGAATATCGGGAATATTTTATTGGCATTGCGAATAAGGGCTAATTTTGAGCTACAAAATGTTTATTATCCGATCAGTACAATCGATTGTCCGCGTTAAATTTGGAGCATATATTGATGGTGGTAGAAGAATACAGGTAGACGCATCGACACAGGTGCTGGGACAATGAACTATCCAACCAATTTATTTATTTATTATAATATACTCCAATTGACGTCGTATAAGAATGTATATATACATACATCCATGGTTCAATAAAAAAGGGTGCTCAACTTCAAAGAAACTAGAAAAATGCAACTCTGTGCTGTAGTCTTATAGTGTCAAATAGGCCGGTTATTACATCTTGCCGATAGATTAAAAAGTGATGTTGTCGGACACATCAATCGTTTTTCGTTATTACAAGTTTCATTTAAGTATGAATTGTCAAGTAGCCCGAAAGATAATTGAAATGCCTGAATGTTCTCTCTAAAATATGT